CTACTCGGATAATAAATTGTTAAAATTGTAATTTTAACCTTAGGCACGAGTATTGGACCTGGGAAGGAAGAATATGACCAGATTGATAAAAAACCTGTGTTCATCTTAAAAGTGTCAACAAAAAAAATGTAAATAATGATCTTCTTTAAAAATATACTATAAGTTAACTTATAGTATATTTTTAAAGAAGGTCATTATTTACAATTTTTTATTTGGTTTTTGACACTTTTAAGATAAACACAGGTTTTATTATCAATCTGGTCATATTTTTTCTTCCCAGGTCCGATACTCGTTCCTGTGATTTTAACGCAAACTATCGTTTTGTTATTACGACACCATTACATGATATTTAGTGAAAGTTATGACATCAAACTCAAATAAAAAACTTGTTTATAGTCAATGAAGGTGCATAAATTATGTGTAGCAAAAATGACGTCAAATTCAAGGACGGAGCAACGTCATGTTATTTAACTTCATAGCACGGTAATATGACACCAACTGAGATTCAAATGTTTATTCTAAAAACTGAATCGACAAAAAATTGTTAAAGGCAACTTGTGTTTAAATGCCAGAACAGATTAACAGCTTTTGTTTTCCATTAACCTTTAGCACTCTATCCAGGAAATGGATGCATACACTACAGTACACTACTGCTGAGTAACACCTCAGTTTACAGCCGCCACTAACATAATTTTCACAGAAATGGTTTTACATGTATTGAGTTATTCAAATGGATATATCTACTAATCTACTCAACCAATGTTTATGACATTTGGCCACAATATAGATATAATCATATATAAACTGTGTATACAACTTTAAACATAAGCAGTTTAATTTTTTTTGTATTTAAACCATTTTGATACATAAAATTCAATAAACTCTTGAAAATAACAAGAACGTGTTTGTTAAACACAAATGCCCCCGGCTCAGATTCTTGTCAGTAACAATATTTAAAATAAAGGCTGTATGGGCAAAAGTGTAAAAATTCTATTTTAGAACTGATGACCTTGACCCAACTGACCCCTAACTCCATCCAAAGGAAGAATATTATGCAACTTATTTTCTAACCAAATATGAAATAAATCTTTCAATATATAAAGGCTGTATGGGCAAAAGTGTAAAAATCTATTTTTAGCACTGTTAACCTTGATCCAACTGACCCTTACCTCCATCCAAATGAGAATACCTCAATTTTATGTTCCTACAAAATATACAAGACATCTGACGATAGAATAAGGAAGGTTAATACACCTGTAAAAGTGTAAAAAATCTATTTTTGACATTGGTGACCTTGACCCAAATGACCTCTTACTATTAAAGGAAAAGGAAGAGGACATCCCTTGGTATGACTATTATAAACATGAAAGACATTAACTTAAAAATAAAGGCTGTATGTCTTGAGTAAAAATGTTCATATTTATTTTTTTTACACAAGTGACCTTGACATTGACATAGAGACGCCTAACGCCACAAAAAATTAGAGGATCGTTAAAGGTATCCACCTACCAAATATGAAAGATATCATTAAATAAATTAAGTAATTAGGTAAATTTTTTTTGATAAATCCAACTTGGTGGAATAGGTTAACCATAGAAGGCCCTATTTTCAAAGTGATAAAAAGGGAAATTACTGGGAAAATGGATGGCACATTTATATAACTTGGCAATATCATGTACATTGTATTGATAAGTAAGTGTGAAAATTATTAAGCCATTAGTTCAGATAGAACATAAGATATTTCCAACTTGCCGCTTTAGGTTAACCATTATTCATTTTCTACGTGCTGAAAAGGGCCATAACTTGGTGCAAATGGAAGCCATAGTTATGTAACTTGCTCAGATAATATACTTTGTATGGATTAGTAAGTGTGTAAATTATGAAGCCATTGGTACAGGTAGAACTTAAGAAAAATCCAACTTGCCGTTCTATTTTAACCTCGTACGGACAGACGGACGAACGGACGTTCTCACAGGACAGTAATTATTTGGCTACTCTTTTGTTCTCTCTATTGTTCTTTTTAGCCACACAAAAGAAAATAGCCACATAAAAGCATTACGGAATGAATGACATCAAAGAGAAAGAACAGTTACCTATTGTCCCCCTAGCCACATAATTACTCTCCTGTGAGTGCGGACAGACGGACGGACAGACGGACGGACGGACGGACGGAGAGACGGTTCAATTACTATATGCTCGGAAGGCATAAAAAATGTTTGTCATTTATTCAAACACCTTTATCATGTTTATTGTAGTTTAGTAATATTCTTTGACTGGTGCAGTTCCTGTGTGCATAATACATGGTATGCTACATGTGTGTGCCACCTTTCGAAGCATGGACATGGACACATAGGCTCCTCACACTGTTTGCATATATACTGTGTTTGGTGACGTTTATGTTTTCTGTCAGAACAAACTGAGCAGTCTGATTTTGATCTCTTTCCACCCAACAACAGACCACTGTTCAGTCCAATAGTGGTCTTTTATAGTGTCTCAGCATACCACGTACAATTTTCAAACGGAACATTTCAGCATTGGTTCTTTTCCTAGACTGTGCTCTCCAAATTATAAGAGCATTACAGAAACAAATCTCTAGCAAGTAGAAAAAAACTTTTTTTCACCACTTACACCATCTGTGCAATACAGTATAGAAAGTCATGGCCTGATTGGCACGGTCAATCCCGCCCATGTGTTTAGAATATGCTTGCACTGCGCATGGCTTGTCAACTTCTCTCACATGATCATTACCTCTTTTTGATCTAACTTGTTTCTTTTAGGTATCTGCTGAATGAACAGTGGTTATCAGATTCACAACTTTTCTGTCCCATAAGCCCCTATCTGATTGTCAGCCAGATCTTTGAAAAGTGCAGGGGAACTGAAAAAAATGTCCATGTATATGATATGGCCCTTATGTAGCAAAGGTTGAGCTATATACACAACTACCAAAGCATCTCCCGGGGATCCATGCCAGAGAGGTAACTGGATTTGAAGTCATCAACACTAACCCCTCGACCATGGAGGCGGTACGTCACTGTCTGTGAATATTTGATAATTGCATTTGATAATTGCATTTAAAACGTCATCTACCAATAGTCTAGAACTGCGTTGATTGAATCTCTGTGCCATGTTTACATGTATCGCTAAGATATGATAATAAAATGCTTTTTATGCCCCCACAAAGTGGGGGGCATATAGCGTTGCACTTGTTCGTCCATCTGACCGTTTGTCCCAAAATCTTGTGAACGCAACTCCTCTTAAACCGCATGGCAGATTTTGCTTTAACTTCCAGGGATGAGCAACCTTAATGTGAAGATGGTTGTAAAGAACGGAATTTTTGCTGCGACCAAATTTAACAGAACTATGGCCCTTTGTTGATTTTTTCACTATATACCATATAGAAATTTTGTGAACGCAACTCCTCTAATACCGGATGGCAGATTTTGCTTAAACTTCCAGGGATGAACAACCTTAATGTGAAGATATAAGTGAAGGAAGGCATTTTTGCTGCGACTAAATTTAACAGAATTATGGCCCTTTGTTGATATTTTCACTATATAACATATATATGTTGTCAGTGGGGGCATCCGTGTCCTTTGGACACAGTTTTAGATATTGGTTATTTTCAAGTTTTTCTATCAAAACGGAAGAAAAAATATAAACAAGAATTGTACATGTGCTAGCATCGGTTAACGGGAAGGATAAGTGCAGCCGAGGCTTGAATACAACAGCGCAAAATTCAAACAAGTTTCGGCGATTAAATCGCCAATAGTGGTAATGTATAAGACAATATTGACGACTTATCAATGGAAGTGGTACACGATAAATATTTCCGGGTGATTTTAGTTGCTGGTAGAGTGCTAAAGGTTAATTATGAATGTAAGTCTTACAGAAAAAATTGAAACAACTTTATGTGTTTGTTCATAAATGCATGTTTTTATTTGAAAGCTTAAGAACACAAGAGGGTTATGATGGCCCTGAGTCGCTCACCAGCAACAACTTCTTTTCAGTGTTGGAAATTATCCATTGTCAATATTTTCTGATATTTAATTTGAGCCAATCAAATTAATATGAGCAAACTTGATAAAAGACTACCTAATTATATCAAGTTTGGTGATCATCTATCAATTCTTTCAGTAAGAAATGATGTTCAAAGGTTTTCTATTTTTGTCTTTAATATTTAATTAATATGAGCAAATTTGATAAAAGCGTACCTAAAAATGCTACAGACAAAGTTTGGTGATCATCCATCAATTAGTTCTGTAGAAATAAACATTAAAGGTTTTTTTTATTTTTAGCTTTAGCGGCCCCTATAAGGGGCCAATCATATAAATATGATCAAACTTGATAAAAGACTACCTAAGAAAGCTACAGACAAAATTTGGTGATCATTCATCAATAAGTTCCATAGAATAAGACGTTTAAAGCTTTTTCTATTTTAGCTCTAGCCACCCCTAAAAGGGGCCAATCAAATTAATATGAGCAAATTTGATAAAGGACTACCCAAGAATGCTACAGACAAAGTTTGGTGATCATCCATCAATTAGTTCTGTAGAAATATACTTTTTTAAAGGTATTTCTATTTAGCTTTAGCTGCCCTTAAAAGGGGCCAATAACATTAATATGCGCAAATTTGATAAAAGACTATCTAAGAATGATAGAGACAAAGTTTGGTGATCACCCATCCATTAGTTCTGTAAAAGAAGATGTCTAAAGGTTTTTTCTATTTTTAGCCCTAAAGACCCCTTAAAGGTGCCAATTAAATTAATATGAGCAAATTTGATATCACACTACCTAAGAATGCTACAGACAAAGTTTGGTGATCGTCAATCAATTACTTCTCTAGATATAGATAAATCTGCCCAGCAGTTTCAGAGAAGGAGACGATTGTTGACGCATGACGACGGACGCCGGAGTATCCCCCTATGATACTAATAGCTCACCCTGAGCCTTCGGCTCTGTTGAGCTAAAAACTGTAAACATAAAGCCATTGAAACACTTACTTGGCCTGCAAGTTCCGGCTATAGCAAAACCATTGTCATCGTAGTAAGAACTTCTACAAATACATATACTTCCAGTTGCACATTCAACATTTGTATCCTTGCATGTTGTCCTTGCATCTGCACATGATATTCCTAAATCCGCCACTAGAGGAAAGTTTTACTTAGTTGCATTGGATAATACATAATGCATATGTTCACACATATATAAACACTAAGGTTACTATGCAAGCTGAGTTGGAATCACTACTTTAAGAATGATAAAGAAGCAAGTGTTTGAAGACTCATGTATACAACTCATAAAATAAAGAAGTTACACTAAAAATGTTTAATAAGGAACATTCAACATTTAAAGGAAAATAAATTCTATAAATATAGGTTCTTGCCTTATGAGGCTTATTACAATGTTGCCATTAGGAATTATTAGGAACATGAAAATTCCGTAAAACGGATAACTGCCCCCACCCTGAATTGGCCCCACCGGTGAATTGCGCCCCCGGACAGTTGCTCACTATAATGTAAAACAAGACAGATAATTGCCCCCACCCCCAAAAAAAACTTTAAAGGGGAGAATTGCCCCCCTCCCCAATATTACAGATATCGTATCTGTAAGTTAAAATTTGGTGTACTGATTGACAAAAAGTTCGGAAGCCGATTGTCGTTTGTAGGTACATATAAAGTGCACATTGAGTCTCAGTTTGCAAACAATGTTTAACACCTTTACATTTTAATTGATACTGCCTTGTCCTTAACCCATTACTTCATGAGCATTTTGTGAAAAATGGCTGTTTTCATTGAAAAGTCTCCAGTTACAAGTTCAAATTGCTTTCTTTAAAACTATCAAAAATGCTTCAGTACTAATCAAACTTGGCACAAATGTTGACTAGACCATTGCCTTTGTAACGACGTGCTCAGTCTAAAATTTCCTGTTACCATGGCAACGACGGGACATCTCAAAATTGCCAAAAATCACTATTTTGCATTGATTTTTTCCATCATAATTGATTTCAAAGTGCTGCAACTTCTCAATGGATTGAGAAAGAGTCAAAGGCTTTTCAGCGTTGGTTACATGTGACCTTATGATCGATCTGGGGTCATTTTTAGCCTCTCACAAGTCCAAAATTTTCTTAGTGATGAGGGAAACTACCACTCCCCTTCAAACACCCCAAACAGAGGGCCACTTCCCCCTTCTGACAACCCCCTTATGTATCTTTTGGATAGGAGGCCGCGCCGAAAAAGTGGTCACTTTTTTAAGCAACATTTCTCACACAAAACAAGTGTTGGGGGCCTAAATAAGGCATTTTTTTCACCATTTGGGACAACAAATAGGGGGCGGGGCTGTGTGAAAAAGACGTTAAAAGGTATATAGGTGTATATCGGATAATGGGTTAATTGCTGCTTATAACAATAATAATAGGAACTGCATACTTATATAAACTGCATCAAAACACATCAATTTACCATAAACATATTAACAGTTTCTGCAATAAAACATTTTAAATATTGCATTTCATTACATCTTTTGTATTAGCCTTTGCCTTATCTAGTTTTGTTGACAAGGAGTGGGTGCGGGGCAATTTTGTCCGCAATTTTGTCACAAAAACATATGTCTCCCAAAACTAGGTATGGCATGATCACTAATGTGTTTTGTTTGTAGAAACCCTGCAAGCAGTTCAGCCAGTGAAAGCCAGACAAGATGTTTTATATAAAGCTCTGGTAGCCATTTTGTGCCCGCATTATGCACAACTAGGTATGGTACTGATCACTTTTGTAAAGTTTCATTGAAATCCCGTGAGCTGCGTTTGACCAGTGAAAACCGGACATGATTTTTCTATTTTATAGCTCTGGTGGCATTTTGTGCAGCCAAAGGGAACATAATGGCAATGTGCACAACAAGGGATGGTATTGATCAATCCTATTTCCCTGTGAAATAAGGGCAACATATTTCTATCTTTAGCTTTTCAGGTGTCCTTTTTGTGCAGCGAAGCAGAAAGTGCCGGCAATATGCACAACCAGGTATGGTTCTGGTAACTCCTGTGAAGTTTCATTTAAATCCAAACAGGAGTTTGACCTGTGAAAGCCAGAGAAGATTTTTCTATTTACAGCTAGCGAAGTTGAACAGGCCCGTGAAATGCATCACTAGGGATGGTACTGATCACTCCTGTGATAACGTTTCATTGAAATCCTGCAAGAAAATTGACCTGTAAAAGCCAGCTATTTTAGGAGACAATATTTGTAAGTGTCATAAAAAGTGAAGATAATAAATACTCAGGCGTGACAGTTATTCCAAAAAACAATTTATTAAGTACTCTTTCTGGTGCAATATTTCATTTACTCAATTTTATTACATTCACGCAGAACTTAAAACGTTTTATGTAATGAAACTTGACTTCACATGACTTAAATATCAATTGCATATCTCAATAAACCACACTCTAACAATTGCTTGGTGCACCTTTTCCATCAACAAACAAACAAGGCAGTCTGAAGGACAGCTAAATCCCTTTCCGCAGCAGACATGAATGAGTAATTTCTTACCTTTGAATAACAATTACCTTCATGTTGTACCTTGCATATCATAAGTACATTTGCTCAACACAAACGTCTGTTTCAGTTATTGACCATTTAACTTCAATATTTAGATGTAAATTATCCAATTTTGTTTGAATTTTATCTAATTTTCTTAGACTTTCAGGATAGTGACCTGAATATTGCAATCCTCACATTATGTCATTCTTATGACTATTTGTGCAAAGTAAATATAAAAACTTTTCAATAGTTTAAAAATTGAAAATCGAGCAAACACGATCAAGATTGCATTTGTGAAAAATGCTATTCCACTGCATTAATACAACACTAACACTTAATATTAGTGTAGGAACACTGTCAGAAGACTTTTTCTGCTTCTATGCTCTGATATCAAAGTTCAAATTTACATCTTAAACTGTGCACATGGACACATTCATGGCTATACATCAAAGAATAAGAAAGTAGGTCACTTGTCAAAAACTAGGTCAGATGCATGCATTATATTAAAATTCAATTTTACATCTTAAATGTGCACATGGTCCAAATTTCATTGCTGTACATCAAAGGACAAGAAAGTAGGTCACAGTCCCCTTGTGCAAGGCAAACTTTTGACTCAATGGTTTCATTCAAACAATCTTAGTTAGTTTAAACATATTTTTTTTCAATATTTTACATTTTATATGTACATGTATATAATTGTTACACAAAAATGAAAGGTATTAAAACGAAACAAATTATAGAATTCCTCTCCCTATCAAACAATCTTGACACAGGCCCTAGGGACAATGTTTCATGTCAAATATCTAAGTTTTAACTTTCTCTTATTAAGAAAACATTTTTTCTTTCTCTTTTTTCAATTTGATATAATGAAAATCAATGACCCCCTTGGGGCAGGGCCAATGTTGACCCCAAGGCTATGATTTGAACAATCTTGGTAGAGGTTCACTTCACAATGTTTCATGCATAATATTTATCAGGGCCAAATTTAAAACTAGAAGCAAAACTTAGGAAGAGGACCTGTAGATGATATTATATACCAAAAATCAAAACTCTAAGCCTTGTACAAGAGAGAATTTAAAAGTTCTTACTATATGTATATAGTGAAAAACAATGACCTTGAGGCAGTGCCAATTTTTACCCTTGGGCTATAATTTAAACAATCGTGGTAGAGGTCAACTACACAGTGTTTCATACAAAATATCTAACCTCTAGCTTTTGTCAATTCAGAAAAGACAACTTTTTAAGTTTTACTATATACATATAAGGAAAACCAATGACCCCTAAGGATGGGGGATGTTGACACTAGAGGCAAAATCTGAACAACTTTGGTAAAGGACCTACAGAAGATACCATATACCAAATTTCAATGCTACAAGCTTTGAACCTTCAGACAAGAATTTTTTTCTAGTTTTTTTTTCTATATGTAATTAGTGAAAATCAATGACCATTGGGCAAGGCCAATTTTGACCCATTTGCTTTAATTTGAAATCTCCGTACAGGTCAACTATGCAATGCCTCATGCAAAATATTTATAATTGCTTTTGGATTCCATGACAACCAGGTTTCTGCATGGAATAAAATTCTTTGAAAAACTTTGGAAACCCTTCAGCCAAGGAACAATTTGCCAAGTTTGGTTGAAATTGGACTAGTGGTTTTTCTCAAGAAGATTTTTTAAGTTAAATAAATCTATGTCACAAACACATGCATGCACACACACGTAGATGTTTTCACATTGGATGTCTGATTCGGATATCCAGATGCCCTTTCGGCTCCAGATGACATCCCTACTTAATAGCAGTGTGGTCATAAGACAGCATTTAATAGCAGTGTGGTCATTAGGCGGCATTTTACTGAATAGTAAAATTAAAAGCTTAACTAAAGAATCCTTAACTGACTTACTTGAACATGTTTTACTTGAAAAACCTGACCTACACATACAGGTGAAATCAGCAACCTTATCTGTACAACTGCCTCCATTCAGACAGGGATTAGGAGAACAATCATCTATATCTGAAAAGAGAAAAACAAATTGATATATAGAGCTTTCTATACTCACTGTAAAATACTTTTTCATCCTAAAGCTTACTGGAACTAAAGCACTGCAAAGACAGGGCAATTATAAGCCTGAATGTAAATTTATTTGAGTATTCAAAATAATATTTCAATAAGAAAAGAGACCCAATCACGACTTGTCTGAACAATGTTTTCTCTTAATTATTCTTATGATCCTACATGACCTCCAGGGTGGAAGAAGTTTTTACCCTAGGTGCATAATTCATACAAGAAACATGGCAATGCAACAAAACCAGGTTTTCAATTATCACTATGTTTGAAAGTTCTGTTGTCATTGGAATATAAATAGAAAAGTTATCATAAGAGATTAACTTTTACCTAAGCTTTATATACACCAAGTTTTATTGAAATATCTCATTCCAAACTCTTGTCCAGAAATGTATTTTCTTTTTTTTTAATAACAGTGACCTTAACCCAGCAGGCCCAAAAGAAATCATAAGTTAGGTTTTTACATAACCTTGCTCTTCACCAAGTTTCATTGAAATATTTCAGTTCAAACTCTAGTTATTGACGAGAAATTTATTTTCTATTTTAGTAAAAGAGCCTTGACCTTGACACAGGGGGTCAAAAAGCAATTATAAGTGTTTAAATAACCTTGCTCTACACCAATTATTTTTGAAATATTTTAATTCAAACTAAGTTATTGACAAGAAACTGATTTCCTATTTTTAGTAGAAGTAACCTTGACCCAAGAGGCCCAAAATCAATTGTAAAAAGGTTTTTACATAACCTTGCTATACACCAAGTTCATTGAAAGATTTCAATTCAAACTACTGTTATTGACCAGAAACTGATTCTCATTTTTATTGTTAAACAGTAACCTTGACCCAGGAGGCCAAAAGCAATTGTTAGCTAGGTCTTTACATAACCTTGCTATACCCAAAGTTTCATTGAAATATCTCATTCTAAACTCTAGTTATTGACCAGAAACTGATTTTAATTTTAAACATTGACCTTGACCCAGGAGGCTAAAAGCAATCGTTAGCTTGGTATTTACATAACCTTGCTATACACCAAGTTTCATTGAAATATCTCATTCCAAACTGATTTTCTATTTTGAGTAGCAATGACCTTTACCCTCAGGGGCCAAAAGCAATTGTTAGGAAAAGACCTCTATAAGCATTGTATGCTTTCAGATCTGATCCTTTTTCAGCATTGTCAGATCTGATCCTTTTTCAGCATTGTATATCATAAATCTAATGATTGCATGATATGTTTGTGTGAAAATGTTTCAAATAAAATATGTTTGAAGTAGTAAGGTCTTTTCATATGCTTGTCTAACACCAAGTTTAACTGAAATATCTTATTCCTTTGAGAATAAAAGGAGAAGTTGCGCACAGAAGGAAATTTTCACAATATAAATATTCCATATAAGGAAAGAAACAAAGGGCCATAAATCAGGAAAAAAAAATCAAGTAATAAACCCTGACAAAATGCCCAAGGTCACTTGATGACATAGCTTCTGTGAAAGTTTGGTCTAAATTCCTTAAGAAATGAAGGAGAAGTTGTGCACAGAAGAAATCTTTCACTATACCTTCTATATAAGGAAAATAACAAAGGGCCATAATTAGGTCAAAAATTATCAAATTGCAAACAAGCTAATGTGGTGTTATGCTACATTCCAAATATCTTAAGTTTAGACATTATTTTCTAGGCAGAAGATTTTTATCATTTCCCTAGATACCAGCTCTAAGTCTTGCACTTTCAAAAGAGATTTTTAAGTTTATACTATATATGACTTTTAGTTATTTTTACTATATACATAAAAGGAAAATGAATGACCCCCTGGGGCGAGGCCTATTTTGACCCAAGGGCTATAATTTGAACATTTTTTATAGAATTTCATTAGCTGATGTTACACACAAAATATATAAGCTCTACACCTTGCACTTTCAGAGAAGATTTTTTACAATATACATACAGTAAAACTTGTATTAAGCGAAACACCCTAAACGGTCGCTAAATAAAAGGTCTCTTAAGATAAAGCATGATAAAAAGTCAAAATTTATAATTGACATCTTTCTTTTGCAGTGGGAATGTTTTTCAACTTCAATAATATAAATGTATAATAATTAGAACGCTCCGATAATCTAAATGGATGCAAATGTAAACAAGAGTCCGGTTTGAGCCGGGTGATGCTCCCCGAATAGGTTTTGGACACGTTAAAGTACACTTCTTGTAGTTTCAGAGTTATGTCCGTGGAAAAAGTTCAATGTGCAATTATTTCAAAATTAGGCAAGGCAGAGTTACTGTTCAATGCATTGCACTTCTAATCAATGTGATCTATCAACCTTCAAAGTTTCTTGATGATATCTCTTATGATTTCCGAGTTATGTCCCGGACAACTTCAAAAAGTTAAAATAAACAAAGGGCAATAACTCCAGAATTAGTCCAGGCAGAGTTATGATTCTTGTGCACTGCACATCTACCCATTAAGATATATCTACCTACAAAGTTTCATGTTGATATCTCTTATAGTTTTACAGCTATGTCCTGGAGAAGATTTTTCTTAAAGGGGAGATAATTCAAAAATGAGGCTCAACAGAGTTATGATTCTTTTGCACTGCACCTCTACTCAATTAGATCTATCTACCTACAATGTTTCATCTTGATATCTCTTATAGTTTTAGACTTATGTTCCGGACAAAGTTCAAAGTGTTAAAATTAACAAAGGGCAATAACTCCAAAATTAGGACAAAAAAAGTTATTGTTCTTATGCACTGCACATCTACCCATTGAGATCTATTCACCTACAAATATGATAAACAAGATCGACAAGGAAAGGCGGCATTCAATGAACGCAGCCCCCACCCGACCCAGCAACAAGCGCCAGCGGCAAGGAGCCCAGGAGGACCCCAAAGAAAAACAGGACAGGGCACAAGGCAGAGTACGGGCAGGCAAACCACTACATCAGAATACATAATTAGTAACTTATAAGGAACTAAAACAAAAAAATAAATGATTTAATATAAGGCCCATAATGTCAAAAGGCACAGGGGAAGGGGACATGAGACACGGGGAAGGGGGGGGGATAAAATAAATAAAAACTAGGGACAAAGGGAAGATACTTACCGTAGACGAGAAAATTTTATGAAACAAAGTTTCATGTTGATATCTCTTATAGTTTAAGAGTTATGCCCGGGACAAGATTTTTCTATAAGGGGAGTTCTTTGACACTGCACTCCCCCTCAATGCCCTCTACCACTGTATGAAGTTTCAACAAATTATCTCCAAGGGTTTTCAAGTTATGCTCCGGACAAGACAACGGACGGACGGACGGACAGACGGACAAGGCGCCGACTATATGCTTCCCCGAAATTTTTCGGGGAGCATTAAAAATAACTTTCTAATATTTATTAACAAATCAGTTTTGATACATTACGTACATGTTTGACATTTTTCCAGAATTTTTAAACTTTTCTGTTGTATTTCCATGTCTGAAACACCAAAACCCTGATAAGTGAAGCTTTTTTTTAGTGCATTTTTCATTTGAAATAAACAAACTACCTCTGATTGTAACGATTAATTTAATTGCTGATTAAGTTCAAGGTCAATGCAGTGCAGTCTAAATATCAACAGCTAAGCGTATACACCATCTGAGTAGCGGCGGAGTGTTGCATTGTTTTATCGATATTATTGGATAATACACGTCACGCGTATATCTACCTTTATTTGCATACACTTAAACGGTTTGGCAAATAGAGTTTTTCACACATCTATATATATTGTTTTGATTGTTGACACTTGTGACATTACAAGGCGGCGTTCTCTAAAATCAATTACTTGAAAGGTAAAAGTGGCCGTTTAATGAAAAAATTGATCTCAATTGGCTGATTAATTAGCGGTCGTTGGTCACGTTGAGCAAAAGTCGCTTAATACGTTGAAAATATAGAGAGAAAACGAACGGGGGAATTGAAAGTGGCCGCATAAGACAAAGGTTGCTTAATACAAGTGGTCGCATGGGCAAGTTAGACTGTATTAGGAAAATAAATGACCCCCCTGGGGGGAGGCCAATTTTGACCCCAGGGCTGTAATTTTAACAATTTCTGGAAAGTTTCATTAGATGATGTTACATACAAAAATCTAAGCTCTACTCCTTGCACTTTCAGAGAAGAAGATTTTTAAAAGTTTTCATATCAAAAATCTTTTTTAGCCCTCCTGACCTACATGTTCGATTGAGCAGAACCATTTGATCAATTTAAGTAGAGCTTTATGCCAGGAACATCCCAGGAAAATTTGTCCCAGTGGTTTCTGAGAAGTCGTTTGTATAAAAAAAATTGACGATTGGCACACTGACGTCCAGCCGAAATCGAAGAAAGGGCCATTTCTTTTGTTATTTTCTTTTCTTCAATAGAGGGCCAATGGCCCCTAACCCTATTGTTACAGAACTAACTTTTATGTTTTCTTTTGTTCTGTTAACAGTTAAATGGCCCCCTATCCCTATTCAGTTATGCGGACACACTGACCGATGATGGACGCTGGACAAATTGTGATCACAAAAGCTAACCTTCCTTACATTGTGCTCAGGTCAGCTAAAAATAACTAAATACAATAAATACTTAAAAAAGCATTTTCCTAGAAAACTAATATATGCTTTGTCTGCAATGAACAAGAGCCGGTTGAACCGGGTGATGCTCCCCGAATAGGTTTTGGACACAGGAAGGTATACCTCTTGTAGTGTCAAAGTTATGTCACAGACAAAGTTCAAAGTGTAAAAACAAGGTAGCACCTGACACGTCCTCTCAATATGGTGATCATTTCTGTGAAAAAGTTTTAAATCAGATTTTAAAAAACAAAGTTATAGGCTGGACACAATTTTGCTGCAAGGTCATGCTGTGACCTTCATGGTAGCGACACAAATGTTGCGCGCGACACGACGTAGTCTCAATATGATGATCATTTCTGTTACAAAGTTGTAAAATTCGACTTCAAATAACAAAGTTATAGGCCGGGCACTATTTTGCTACAAGGTCATGCCGTGACCTTGACCTTCAAGATAGCGATCAAAATTTGCACACAACACGTCGTTTCAATATGGTGATCATTTCTGTGAAATAGTTGTAAAATCCGTCTTCAAAGAACAAAGTTATGGGCCAGACACGATTTTGCTGCAAGGTCATGCTGTGACCTTGACCTTCAAAGAAGCGACCCAAATGTTGCGCGCGACACATCGTCTAAATATTGTGATCATTTCTGTGAAATAGTTGTAAAATCCGACTTCAAAGAACGAGTTATGGGCCGGACAAGAATTCAGGAAAACATACCGACGGACAGACTGACAGACAACCCAGCGACTATATGCTCCCCCAGGTACATAAAAATATATTATGACTATGTTTCCGACATACCTTCTGTAATAAATAGCAAAATGTTAACATTATAATTAATAATCCATGTAACCAAGTTTTACAGTTGAATTTTGGTAAGTCAAAGTTGAAGGGGCGTGCGTAAAAACGTCGACACATCAGGACTTCAACTCATTAATACACGCCCGGCAAACTGTCGCTCCACTTCAAAATTGTGGTGCACGGTAAAAGGAGCGAACAGCATTTCCGAGATAGAGCGGAAGGCCGATTTAAACGGATAACTGTAAATATTGTCTATGTTTTTGTCTTGTTATTCATTTAAGTTTTTTTTTTGAAAAACGGAAAATGTAGTTCCGTGTAGGATTGTTTTAGGCTTCCAGTGATCTAAGCTGTTACAAAAAGGAGATTAAATTAACCCCGGGAGAACTTTTTTCCCTGACGGAGTGAACGACGATTTGTAGAATATTGAACTTCCCAATCTATAAAATTTTTTTTTCAAAAAGTGTATTAGAAAGATATCGACCCGTAATAGGAACTTGTTCTTCGTGCCTGAAGGAATTCTTAAATTTGTAAATCAAGATTTTTCGAAAGAAGTGGAGCCAAAGGGCAAGAGATAGATCGAAAGGTAAGATGTTGAGCGCAAGGCGATATTAATTTTGCGTATTGGGAGATCGCAGTCTATGATTTGTTATGCATGTATATTAAAGCTATATAAGTTAAAATAGACATGATCAAGTGTTGTGACTGAGATATATATCTTTTTAATACAATTAATAAAGCGTGACATCTAATCGCGAAAGTGTCACCTGTGACTGCCGTATAGATTCCATTGTTTGTGTTCAAAATTTGGATGAGGCCTGATCATTGAATCATATGCATGGCGTAATACAGGGTGCGATTTATTCGCGGTCAAACATGGTTTTTGACACAGTTATGTACATTTAAAACGTGTGTGCGTGGAAATTTGACAAATTGAATATTTTCAGTTCTACCGCGAACAAATGTTTCCGAGCAGGTACGTCTAACGCGATCGTTCTCGCCAAAATGTTATGTTTTTCGAAAAGATAGATATTCAAGGTGCAGAATAGAGACAAAAATATGTAATGCACGGGGCACATTAAATGAATCACTACTACCGAGTTCATTATACATGTACTATGACTTTATGTAATTAATTGCTCTAAAGTACATGTTCAGATCAAACACATATAAGCCAAGTTTTCATGAAATAGAAATACTTTTGTAAGGTGGGGAATCTCTATGAAAATGGTTGTTAGTCGTTCTAAGGATATGAAATATGATAAACAAGATTAAGGAAAGGCGGCGTTCAATGACCACAATCCCACGCGACCATGCAACAAGGAGCCAAGGAGGCTCTCAAACAAACACAGGACAGGGCGCAAAGCGGAGAACGGACAGGTCAATCAATAACTATGAAATGAAACATAAAAAGAAATGATAAAACCGTCAAAAAAACAATTTAAGAAAAAGAAAATTCATAATGATTTACAATCTCATTGAATAATAAAAAACGCTAAAACGTGCCGTGATTTAGCGCAAGAAACACACTGGCAATAACAAAAGTTATCATAAGAACTCTATGACATCTTCAGAGTCATCACAAGAACTCCGGGACATTTGAAAAATCGGGTATAAATCTGTTAGCCGGTGCTTTATATTTGCAATTTTGCATTATAATTATGTAATTATGTATGGCAAGGATGAAGACCAGAAATAAACCGGTCAATACTTGTGATTTGGCAAATAATTTGAAAATTTTACGATGAAAAATGGCCTGTGAATTAGGCTTTGACACATAATACAAGATGTAAGACAAGCTTAATCATTTAAGTTTAATTTAGCACCTTAAACTCATTTTTGAAAGATAAAAAGAACCATTTTCAACGAGTGTTTTTGTAGTTTATACAAAAGTTTTCCGACGAACTCCGTGACAGTTATCACCAGAACTCCTGAACAAGTTATCATAAGAACTCCATCTTTCGTGTAACACTTCCTCCCCCGTGCTCTTTACACCAACTTAATATCGCCTTGCGCCCAACAACCGACCTTTTGCTCCATCTCTTGCCCTTTGGCCCCACTACTTTCGAAACAAATCGAAATACAAATTTAAAAAATCAACCAATAGTAGTTTATTTTGCACGAAAGAATAGATCTTGTTACGGGTCGATATTTTTCTAAAACACTTTTTCACGAAAACCAATGTGTAGAGCGTTTCCATGGTTGGAAGTTTGACATTTAAGAAATTGTCGTTCACTTCGTCAGGGAGAAAGGTTCTCCCGGGCTTAATATAATTTTCTTTTTGCAACAGCTTAGATCACTGGAAGCCTAAACAATCCTACATCGATTTTTGAAAAAATACAACTTAAATGAATAACAAGACAAAAAACATACATAACACTTTCAATTATCCGTTTAAATCATTTCGCTCGTTTTACCGTACACCACAATTTTGAAGTGGAGCGACAGTTTGCCGGGCGTGTAATAGGTCTCATTTTGATGACAAAATTTTGAGCCGTTTATGTTTACAAGCAAGGTACAAAAGGCATAACAGAACAAAAGGGAGATAACTTACCCAGCTTATAGTAAATATATCTCCGTGTGATTATCACACGACACCGGGTCACGGAAGTTCTCAAATGAAAGTCGTTCTTATTGTTTATTTTCAAATACCACTACAGCAATTTAAATGGTAACAAAAAGGCCTTTATCACATATTTAAACGCAAACAAAGGCTATGTAATTAACACCTGTCATACAAGTTGATTGGAAATCATCTTAGCGACTAGAAAAGGTGTGAAAAAGTCTCGAGATCGAAGCTGTGAAAATAAGCGAAGGACTTTGACTTATTTGTGGTAAATTGTACTTGATTTATTCTATACGGACCTCTAAAAAGTTCAACACATCAAAAAATTCCACACATAATAATTATTTCGACTCATATATAGGTTTTTATAAGGAATATATAGGGGAGAAATCGGGACTTTCATTTAACTTCGACAAATCGTAAAAATCGAAAAAATTGAAGTTCGACTCATAGAAGTTCTACTGTAATTGATAATTACTAGTATATAATTATATTTCTAATTATTATCTTTTATTATAATACATATGTTTCTATATATAGTAACAAAATCTAGGGTATTTTAGGGCCATCATGGCAAGATCTAGGTCATTATGCAATTTTGGCCGCCTTGCTACTCGTATTATTTTCAATAATGGACAAGTGAATGAGCGCACGTGCAGAAAGACATAATCAAATCTCAGTGACTTTCAAGATGGCTGCTGACGTTGAATGAACAGTTACTGTAGTCACTGCACACAAAATATTTTAAAGTTTAAATGGCATAATCAATCACAATCAGCAAAGCTCAACCTTGAAGATTTAGAAACTCAAGACAATACATGACTCTCAGAAATTTAAAAAAATGATTTCAGATTGACGTTTAGAAAAATATCGGATCGGTGGCATTTAGAATTTAGATCCAGTTAAAACTTGGTTGCTGCTGGCCATAATGCAAAATGGCTCATGAGTTCATATTGTCCTTAGGGCTTGCTGCCCTCGGGCCATTATGTACATCTTCGGGCCATTATCACATAATGGCGAGCAGCAACCAATTATTAACCTCTAAATAATACATAACAAAACATACTTGTTTGACATCTTTCGCCTGTATACCCAGTAACACAGCTACATGTATATCCATTGACTTTGTCAGTACATGTACCACCATTCTCACATGAATTGGGACTACAATCATTTATTTCTGTAATATACAAACTTTTTGATAACCAATTTTCTAAATGTATACATTCACTGTAAACACATTTAAAAAACAACACTTAGTGACCAGGTCTGGTAAAGACATTTATGCCTCAAGCCAAGATTCCAAAATATTAACTTACTAAGCCAATTATGTTTACCGTATATATGTAACCAAATTTATATAATTATTTATTATAAATTATAATTATATTTCTATAATACATAACAAAACATACTTGTTTGACATCTATCGCCTGTATACCCAGTAACACAGCTACATGTATACCCATTTACTTTGTCAGTACATGTACCACCATTCACACATGGATTGGGACTACACTCATTTATATCTGTAAAATTGAAACTTGAATTATTTTTTCTTTCATTTTTTTTGTCACTACATTGAAAACATTAAAATAACAGAGAAATTGAACAGATTAAACAAAAATGATTTTTTAATTCTTTCTCAATGTATGCATTTGCCTATAAAATGTTTAGAAAGAACAAATTTTCTGAGACTAAATGCTTTTTAAAACATCCAAAATGGAGCTCTGTTTCAGTTAAATCATACTTTGATAATTTCATGACAAAACATACTTGTTTGACATCTATCGCCTGTATATCCAAGAACACAGCTACATGTATATCCATTTACTTTGTCAGTACATGTACCACCATTCATACATGGATTGGGACTACAATCATTTATATCTGTAATATACAAACGTTTTGATAACCAATTTTCTTAATGTATACATTCACTGTGAACAGTTTCAAAAAACAACAATAAGTGACTAGGTCTGGTAAAGACATTTATTCCTCAAGCCAAGATTCCAAAATATTAACTTACTAAGCCAATTATGTTGATATATGTAACCAAATTTATATAATTATTTAAAATATATTTCTATTTCTATAATACATAACAAAACATACTTGTTTGACATCTATCGCCTGTATATCCAGTAACACAGCTACATGTATACCCATTTACTTTGTCAGTACATGTACCACCATTCACACATGGATTGGGACTACACTCATTTATATCTGTAAAATTGAAACTTGAATTATTTTTTCTTTCATTTTTTTTGTCACTACATTGAAAACATTAAAATAACAGAGAAATTGAACAGATTAAACAAAAATGATTTTTAATTCTTTCTCAATGTATGCATTTGCCTATAAAATGTTTAGAAAGAACAAATTTTCTGAGACTAAATGCTTTTTAAAACATCCAAAATGGAGCTCTGTTTCAGTTAAATCATACTTTGATAATTTCATGACAAAACATACTTGTTTGACATCTATCGCCTGTATATCCAAGAACACAGCTACATGTATATCCATTTACTTTGTCAGTACATGTACCACCATTCATACATGGATTGGGACTACAATCATTTATATCTGTAATATACAAACGTTTTGATAACCAATTTTCTTAATGTATACATTCACTGTGAACAGTTTCAAAAAACAACAATAAGTGACTAGGTCTGGTAAAGACATTTATTCCTCAAGCCAAGATTCCAAAATATTAACTTACTAAGCCAATTATGTTGATATATGTAACCAAATTTATATAATTATTTAAAATATATTTCTATTTCTATAATACATAACAAAACATACTTGTTTGACATCTATCGCCTGTATATCCAGTAACACAGCTACATGTATACCCATTAACTTTGTCAGTACATGTACCACCATTCATACATGGATTGGGACTACAATCATTTATATCTGTAATATACAAACTTTTTGATAACCAATTTTCTTAATATGAATTTTCTTAATTCACTGTGAACACATTAAAAAAACAACAATTAGTGACTATGTCTGGTAAAGACATTTATGCCCAAGCCAAGATTCCAAAATATTAACTTACTCTGCCAATTATGTTGATATATGTAACCAAATTTATATAATTATTTAAAATATATTTATATTTCTATAATACATAACAAAACATACTTGTTTGACATCTATTGCCTGTATATCCAAGAACACAGCTACATTGAAAACATTAAAATAACAGAGAAATGAAACAGATTAAACAAAGATAATTTTTAATGCTTTCTCAATGATGCATTTGCCTATAAAATGTTTAGAAAGAACACATTGTCTGAGAATAAATGCTATTTTACCACATCTCAAATGTAGCTGCTCTGTTTCAGTGATATAATATTTAGATAATTTCATGACAAAACATACTTGTTTGACATGTATCGCCGGTATATCCAAGAACACAGCTACGTGTAAATCCATTTAGTTTGTCAGTACATGTACTACCATTCATACATGAATTGGGACTACAATCATTTATATCTGTAATATACAAAATCTTTGATAATTTTATATTACAGATCCATAGAATGAAACAAAAATTTTGTTGAAAAGGATCAGAATGCCCCCACAATTATGAAGCAAAATAGAGTATGATAATAATTGTGCAGAAGTACTTAACAGTTTATAATAAATTTAAAATGTAAAACAGTTATGTTGTTTGCACACAATTAATTTTCTCAATGTATACATTCACTGTGATTATTTTCAAACAAGAGGGCCCAGACCGCCAAAAATCACTCACCAGAGAAATAGGTCAAAATGTCAAAGTAGAGTCCCTTTTCATCCAAGAAGCACAATTTAAAAACAAGGGATAGCTGAATCTGAACAATGTGTGTACACTGTCATCAAGGTAATATTTTAAAATTGAACAAGTGGTTTTGATGTTGTGTATATTTCTAATTTTAGCTCTGGAAGCCATTTTATTAAATAGTTCAGCCTGTTACTAAGTGTGAAGTGAGCTTATAAGAAGATGACAGAAAAAGAGAAGGTAAAGAAACATTTAACCTGGCTTGAGATTGAACTGTAGACCTCTGGTGTAGTAAGTTGTAAGTCTGGTGCGCTACTTAACCACACTTTCAATTAAAGTACGTACAAGTAAATGTTTAAACAAACCAAGCACAATTTCTGATAAAAAGTCATTGTTGACAGACAACACATGACATATAGTCCACCCTAATGGGGCCCCTTTTGACCCTAAGGGCATAATTTGAATAATATTTGTAGAGGACCACTAGATGATGTAACATACCAAATATCAAAACTCTAGAACTTGTGGATTTTGACGAGAAGACTTTTTAGATTTCCCAATATAACATTATTAAAACTGATGAGCCCCCAGGCAGGGTACCTTTTGACCTTAAGATCATAATTTAAACAATTTTTGTAGAGAACATGCAAATGACAAGAAGTGTATATACTGACTGAAAACAACAATAATGTTTGAAATGATAAAAATTCAAAGACACATATAAATAATATTATACCAGAAAATCAAAAGCACAAAAAATTATGCCTAAAAATTAATCAAAAATTAAAATGCTATACTTACAAATAATTTTCTTTTTTATTACCCCCCACCTTTACATTTATTACAACAATACTCTTGCAAACCTGATGACCCCGTGGGGCGTGGCCAATTTTGACACCAGGGCTTTTATTTGACAAAACTCTGTAGACACCCATAAGAAGATTTTTCATACTTAATATCTAACCTTTAGCTCTTTGGGATTTTTAAAAGAAGATTTTTTATGTTTTTACTATATACAATGTACATATAACGGAAATTAATAACATCATGGGGGAGGGTCCAATTAAGACCCAAGAGCTTTTATTAGAAACTAGAACTCCGCGAGTCGGATGTGTCACCTTGTGAACAGTAAAGCTGTCACTTTAGGCATTTTCTTCTTAAATATAATTTATTTATAAACACCGCTCTTACAATGTACATGTACCTTGAATTTTAGTGGCATTTGAACTGACTGAAACAATGTTACATCAGGATTAACTATTATAAAAAATAAAAATACCATGGAAAAGTTTTACACTGACAGATCAAATGGTGGACTCTGTGATGGATTCTCAAGCACTGCACTTCAGGTCAATGAAAAAGCTTACATACCAAATTTGGAGTCAATCAAACTTATAGTGACCAAGATATGTTTTTGACAAGTCTATTAATTAAAAAAAATAACAAAGGGCAATAACTCAAAAATCAAGAAGTGCAAAGTACAAGCTCTGATGCACTGCACTTCTTCTCAATGAGATATATCATCCTCTGATGTTTCAAGTCAATAGCTTTTAAAGTGTAGGAGAATTGGCCTGGACAAAAATAAAGTATTATAATTTACAAAGAGTAATATCAGAGTACCGGTACTTGTGCACTGCACTTCTTCTCAATGACATCTATAAACCTATGAAGATTCAAGTCCATAGCCTTAATAGTTTAGGTGAAATGGCCGGGATAAAAATAATGTAACAAAATAAACAAAAGGCAATAACTCAAAAATCATGGAATACCGGTTTTTGTGCAATGCACATAATCATAATGCGATCTATCATCGTATGAAGTTTGCATGTCCATAGCTTTTATTGTTTATAAGAAATGGCCCGAACAAAAATGAAATATGAAAATAACAAAGGACAATTACTAAAACATAAGAAGTGCAATGTACCAGTTTTTGTGCATTGCACTTCTTTACAATAAGATCCATCATCCTATGAAGTTTCAAGTCCATAGCTTTTATAGTCTAGGAGAAATGGCCTAGAGAATTAAGTAAGAAAATAAACAAATGGCAATAACTCAAAAATCATCAAGAACAGCGTACCGGCTTTTAAACACTACATATTATCCAATTGAGATCGATCATCCCATGAAGATTCAAATCCATAGCTTTTATAGTTTATGAGAAATGGCCCGCAAAAAAGTATAAAAATTAACAAAGGGCAATAACTAAAAAAATAAAAAGTGCAGAGACTGTTCTTGTGCAATGCACTTTTTCTGAATGAGATCTATTTTCCCATAAAGTTTCAAGTCAATAGTTTTTATTATTAAGGAGAAATGGCCAGCACAAAAAAGTATGAATATTAACGGGCAATAACTCAAAAAATCAAAAGTACTGGTTATTGTGCACTGCACTTCCTTTTAATGAGATCTATCATCCTATGAAGTTTCAAGACCTTGACCTTTGACCTAGTGACCCAAAAATTAATAGGGGTCATCTATTAGTTATGACCAATCAATATGTGAAATATGAATACTTTGTGATAAATAGTAACCAAGAAAATAAGCGGTAATCATATTATCATTCAAGACTCCTGTGACCTTGACCTTTGACCTAGTGACACCAAAATCAAAGGGGTCATCTACTATCTATGACAAATCAATATGTGAAATATGTAATCTATGTGATATATACTTTATAAGAAAATCAGCGGAAATTATTCAGACATTTATTGACCCTGTGACCTTGACCTTTCACCTAGTGACCTTATAATCAATAGGGGTCATCTACAAACCAATCACTATGTGAAATATGAAGACATGATAAATAGTTTTCAAGATAATCAGCGGAAACCATGTGGTCTACCGATGGACAGACCAACAGACAGACAGTCTGACAGATTGACATACCGACATTAGCAAAACATTTAACCCCCTCTTCTTCGAAGGGGGGCATAAAAATTAACAAAGGACAATAACTTAAAAAATAAGAAATGCAGAATAACGATTCTTGTGCACTGCACTTCGGGTTATTGAAAAAAGCATGCAAACCAAGTTTGGGGTCAATCCGACTAATAGTGACTGAGTTATGCTCTGGACAAGCCTTAGGGGTCACCGCCCATGCCATTATCGACGCCGACACAAAAATTTGGTTGAAACCCATAGAAAGATGTTTCATGATTTATATCTAAGCTCTATCCCTTTGGGTTTTTTAAAAAAAGATTTTTTTATTGTTTTTACTTTATTCATATAGAGAAAATCAATCATGGGGCGTGGCTTATTTCGACCCCAATGCTTTTATTTGAACAAACCTGGTAGACAAATGTAAGAAGATGTTTCATGCTTAATTTCTGAGCTGTAGCACTTTGAGTTTTTTAAAAGAAGATTTTTGAAGTTTTATACAATAGACAAACAAGGAAAACAATGACCCCAGGGCGGGGTCAATTTTGACATCCAGGGCTTTTATTTACCAAACTTGGTAGACACTTACTAGAGGATGTTATATGCTCGATATCTAAGCTCTAGCTTTTTGGGTTTTTTTAAAAGAAGATTTATTAAGTTTTAACTATATACATATAAGGAAAACCAATGGCCCGGGGCAACCAGAGTTCTGCATGGAATTAAATTCATTGAACAATTTTTAAAGATGACCACGAAAGGAGCATTCCTGTGAAGATTTGACTAAATTGGCTTGGTAGTTTATTAGGATATATCATTTTCATTAAAAAATTTACGGACACACAACGGACGCCAAACGAAAAGCAATAACAAAAGCTCTTCATGATTTTGTGACAGGTGAGCTTAACATCTATGCTCTGCATGCTGTATGTTGGAGGAAAAGAACTTTAAAACCAACATATATCTGTGCATATCTAAACAATGCAAGACCTACCCATTCCCCACAATTTCACTTGGCATAGCCATTATTAAATATCAGTAAAATAATTTTTAGAACAATTGCAGGGTTCTTTGTAATGATCCATTCCAAATAACTGAGATATGGGATTTGTAACTTTACGTAGGAATACATATATATGAAAATAAGTTTTTCTAGCTATGTGACCCCTGGGGCAAAGCCAATATTGACCCCAGGAACATGATTTATATAAATTTTGAAGATGTCAACAAGGGAGGCTTCATGCAAAATATCTATGCCTCAACATAGATATAATATTTTTGGGCATAGACGTTCTTATTACCTTCTTTTGATTTAAAGCTTTTAAAATTCAGCAAATTCAAAATGCAGTGGTAGACATGGACTAAACTTATTCTATAGACATTTCTTCCTGTTTTTTTTTTCATGTATAATAAAACAGGTTCAGTTATTTTACATCAGCCCTTCAACCAATATTAGTCTTTATGCTAGAAAAATCCCAGGAAAGTTTCATAAAATTTGTCCCAGTGGTTTCAGAGAAGTCGTTTGTATAAAAAATTGTCGATGGACGACTGAAGTCCAGCCGAAATGGAATAAAGGGCCATTTCTTTTGTTATTTTATTGTGTTCATAGAGGGCCAATGGCCCCTTACCCTATTGTTACAGAATGAACATTAATGTTTTCTTTTGTTCTGTTTACAGTTAGATGGCCCCCTCATCCCTATTCGGTAGTGCAAACACACTGACGGATGATGGACGCCGGACAAACTGTGATCACAAAAGCTCACCTTCAGCACATTGTGCTCAGGTCAGCTAAAATAACTAAATACAATTAATACTTAAAAAAAGAATTTTCCTAGAAAACTAACACATGTTATGTCTGAAATGAAAAATATATTATGACTACGTTTCCAACATACCTTCCGTAAATAAAAAGCAAAATGTTAACATTATAATTATCAATCCAATAATGTTACATGTTACTAAGTTTTATAGAATTTATAATTATATAATTATATATCTATAATACATAACAAAATATACTTGTTTGACATCTATCGCCTGTATATCCAGTAACACAGCTACATGTATATCCATTAACTTTGTCAGTACATATACCACCATTCCAACATGGATTAGGATCACAATTATCAATATCTGTAAAATTTAAAATTTGATGATTTTTTTAATCTATTTGTCACTACATTGAAAATATTAAAATAACAGAGTAATTGAACAGATTTAACAAGGGTGATTTTGAATGCTTTCTCAATGTATGCATTTGCCTATAAAATGTTTAGAAAGAACAAATTGTCTGAGACTAATGCTATTTTACCACATCTCAAATGTAGCTGCTCTGTTTCAGTGAAATCATATTTTGATAATTTCATGACAAAACATACTTATTTGACATCTATCGCCTGTATATCTAAGAACACAGATACATGTATATCCATTAACTTTGTCAGTACATGTACCACCATTCATACATGGATTGGGACTACAATCATTTATATCTGTAATATACAAACATTTTGATAACCAATTTTCTTAATGTATACATTCACTGTGAACACATTCAAAAACAACAATTCGTGACTAGGTCTGGTAAAGACATTTATGCCCAAGCCAAGATTCCAAAATATTAACTTACTAAGGCAATTATGTTGATATATGTAACCAAATTTATATAATTATTTAAAATATATTTCTATTTCTATAATACATAACAAAACATACTTGTTTGACATCTATTGCCTGTATATCCAGGAACACAGCTACATGTATACCCATTAACTTTGTCAGTACATGTACCACCATTCTCACATGGATTAGGATCACAATCATCAATATCTGTAAAGTTTAAACTTGAATGATTTTTTCTTTATTTTTTGTCACTACATTGAAAACATTAAAATAACAGAGAAATGAAACAGATTAAACAAAGATAATTTTTAATGCTTTCTCAATGTATGCATTTTCCCCTATTAAAATTTTTAAAAAAGAACAAATTGCTATTTTACCACATCTCAAATGTAGGCTCTGTTTCATGATATAATATTTAGAAAAATTTCAGACTAAACAACTTGTTTGAATGTTTTCGCCGGAAATACCCAAAAGGGAAGACGGGCTAATGTATATCCAAAAAAATTTTGTCGGTCATGAAACCCCCCATTCATACATGGTTTGGGACTAAAATCATTTATTCGGGTAATATAAAAAAATTTTTTGAAAATTTTTATAGCTAAAAAATTTTAAAAGTAGAGTCCCTTTTCACCCCGAAGCAAAATTTTAAAAAAAAGGGGAATAGCTGAATCTAAAACAATGGTGTACTTTGTCATAAAGGGTAAATATTTTAAAAATTGAACAAGTGGTTTAGATTTGGGGAATTTTTTAATTTAGCTCTGGAACCCTTTTTATCAAATAGTTCAGTCTGTCACTAAGTGCGAGGTGAGCATTTAAAAGATGACAGAAAAAGAGAAGGTAAAGAAACATTTAACCTGGCTTGGGATTGAAGTGTAGACCTCTGGTGTAGTAAGTTGTAAGTCTGGTGCGCTACTTAACCACACTTTCAATTAAAGTACGTACAAGTAAATGTTTAAAAACAAACCAAGCACAATTTCTGATAAAAATTCATTGTTGACAGACAAAACATGACATATAGTCCACCCTAATTGAGCCCCTTTTGACCCTAAGGGCATAATTTGAATAATATTTGTAGAGGACCACTAGATGATGTTACATACCAAATATCAAAACTCTAGAACTTGTGGATTTTGACAAGAAGACTTTTTAGATTTCCCAATATAACATTATTAAAACTGACGAGCTCCCAGGTAGGGTCCCTTTTGACCTAAAGATCATAATTTAAACAATATTTGTAGAGAACATGCAAATGACAAAAAAGTATATATACTGAATGAAAACAACAATAATGTTTTAATTGATAAAAATTCAAAGACACATATAAATAATATTATACCAGAAAATCAAAAGCACAAAAAATTATGCCTAAAAATTAATCAAAAATTAAAATGCTATACTTACAAATAATTTTATTTTTTATTACGCCCCCACCTTTACATTTATTACAACAATACTCTTGCAAACCTGATGACCCCGTTGGGCGTGGCCAATTTTGACACCAGGACTTTTATTTAACAAAACTCTGTAGACACCCATAAGAAGAGTTTTCATACTTAATATCTAACCTTTAGCTCTTTGGCATATTTAAAAAGATTTTTTTTTTAAATATTTTACTATATACAATGTACATATAACGGAAATCAATAACATCATGGGGAAAGGGCCCAAATTTAAAAGGCCAAGACTTTTGATTAGAAAAATAGAACTCCCCGAGTCGGGGTGTTACCTTGTGAAAAAAGGAAAGCTGTCCCCTTTTAGGGATTTTTTTTTAAAATTTTATTATTTATAAACACCCCTTTTAATGGACAGTACCTTTTTTTTTAGTTGGGATTTGAACGATTTGGGAAAAAATGTTTTCATCAGGTTAACTTTTTTATCAAAAAGAAAATACCATGGAAATGGGGACTTGTTGTGGATTCTCAAAACACTGCATTCAGGTTTAATGAAAAAACTTAATACCAAATTTTTTGGGGTCAATCAAAACTTATAAATGACCAAGTATGGGGTTTTTACAAGTCTATTAATTAAAAAAAATAACAAAGGGCAATAACTCAAAAATTTCAAGAAGTGCAGAGGTACAAGTTCTGATGCACTGCACTTCTTTCTCAATGAGATATATCATCCTCTGATGTTTCAAGTCAATAGTAGCTTTTTTAAAGTGTAGGAGAATTGGCCTGGACAAAAATGAAAAGTATTATTTAATTTTACAAAGAGTAATATCAGAGTACCCGTTTCTTGTGCACTGCAATTATTCTCCAATGACATCTATCAACCTTATGAAGATTCAAGTTTCCATAGGGCCCTTAATAGTTAAGGTTAAAATGGCCGGGATAAAAATAAATGGTAACAAAATAAACAAAAGGCAATAACTCAAAAAATCATGGAATACCGGTTTTTGTGCAAAGCACATAATCATAATGCGATCTTATCATCGTATGAAGTTTTCATTGTCCATAGCTTTTATTGTTTATAAGAAATGGCCCGAACAAAAATGAAATATGAAAATAACCAAAGG